AAAAAGCTTCTCAAAACCAGGCTCCATATAAGTACAATGTGTAGAACAGCCTAGTCCACATATTCTGGTGAGAAGAAGTTTCCTGAGGTTGAATTCTGGCATGAGCCCCAAAGCTTGGAAGAATAAACCTTTGGTCTCAGTGACCAACTCAGATTGGATCCTGCAATATAAATGATAGCAATGGAGATTCTGTTTAAACACAAGGAAAATACTTTTTTTCTGGTGGGACGATCCGTATAGCAGTAAAACAGCTGTTGAACATGGTGAGTTATCTGTCTCTGAACAGTTTTTCAAGGAGGAATGGATATCCCTAAAGGAGAATTTAAGATTGGATTATACCAGGGGTTCCAACTATGGCAATTTTAAAACCTGTAGACTTCAACTCCCAGAATTCCCCAAACAGCCATCCTAGGAGTTGAAGTCCACAAGCTTTTAAAGTTGCTAAGGTTGGACACCTCCAGGTTAGATGCTCCATGGGATCTCTTCCAACTCTGCCATCCAATGCGTAGGACTTGGTAACCCTATTCTTGTTAAACCTCTGGGTTGTGAGCATATGGTTTCCTTTCCCAACCTATTTCTGACAGAACATCTAGGGAAAAATTGGGGAGATACATTTTAAATGAAATATTCTTTCAAAAAAAAAAAAATGACCTAGAATAGTCATTCACTCTCTTCCATCACTCTCATTCAACATTGTTATAATTCTTTTCTTTAAATATCCAGTCATTCTAATTGTCCCTGATTAATTTAAATGTTCAAAGGAGAGTTTAATAGATCTTTCAGCTAAATATGGTTTTGAGAGTCCCCAGAATCTTGTTGGATATAACAAGGAAGTTCAGATGACATTGTTATGGGTTGACTTTGTTAAACAGTGAACAAGATGAAAGGGGCAGAAATAGAGCACGCCTCTCCCAAAATCCATTTTCCCCTCTTCTGCTGATGATAAATCTTCCCCAGCATCATTTTTTTTTCTGATTAACTTAATAGTAATTATATTGAACTTGTGTCTTATTAAAAAAAAAAAACCTCCCCTGCTTTACAGATAAAATGATTTATTAGCTGTTCTTATTATCTGCTCAAAAGTGAAAATGATTAATTTTTGTTCTTTTTTCTAAATGCAGACATTTTTGCAAACATATCTTGATTGCTGGGGAATGAAATAGCAGAACATTCAAAGAGCTAATTTAAAGGGGATAAGGTGCTATTGAAAAAAAAATCAGATTTAACCAATGTTGCGGTATAAATAAAAACAGTTATGATGTTCTTGTTTCATTTTTTCTGCCACTGCAAGAATCTCTGAGTGTTTTGTTATCTGGTGGGAAAAAATGAGTTTGAACATGTGTGTGTGCATGTGTGTGTGTTTTGTCATAGAAAGCTGTGATTCCTAATCTTAAGGTCTTCTTCAACTTTGACTTTGACAAGGGTAGATGATGAATAAGTAACCTTCTCCAAGGGTTGAAGACTACGAGGCAAGGAGCTGAAGAAGCAATAATTTATTCCACTCCGGTTTGGATTTAAACCATGTAGATCACATATATAAGTTGAGAAAATGACAGGTAGATGATTCAAGATGACTCACATTGATGGACTCAGGTCTCCTTGACTGTGGATTGGATTATAGCAAAGAGACCAAGGCAAACCATCTGTTCATTTCTCTGTAAGAAGATTCAAAAGGAGGGTTACTAGTGTTTGCCACATCTCCTAGATGTTCAGCAGTTGGGGTGTTCCATAGAGATGTCGGCTACGTGCCATATTTTCTTTTGTGGTTGCAATTTCTCCTTTGTGTGTTGGTGGAGAAATGAATAGGCTCATTCAACGCACTATACAAGTCACGTTGTGCAGGCAGAACTCACTGTGCAGAACTCTGCCTGTAGGCTGAAGCAGATATGGAGTAGTTTGGTGACTTCTTGAGTTGAGGTCTTAAGATGACAAAATGAACTGCACTACCATCGAAGATGGTGCTTTTCATGAGGTCAGCATGAGGAAACCAAAACCAGCCGGATGTTGCCTCAGCAGCTCAATGACCAATGCTGAGGATTATGGAGAATAGTAATCCATCAACTTCTGAAGAGCTAATAGTTCCCCACCAGCTGTTACACTGAAGATTCATGGTACAACCAGGAAGTTAAAACTAGGCATCTTACACCCTGAAGTATTTCCTATCTAGTGCGACACTATTAAAAAGGATAAAAGTAGAGTTGGAGTTTTTAATGATTTGGTGATGAGAGGAGGACCTGTGGGAAGAAAGGCATGACAAAGAAATAAATGCTTAGGTATACAACATCACTTGCATGTTCTGTCCAAACCCAACCCAAATTTAGAGCTATAAACATTGTATTACATAAGAAAGTTCTGCAATTCAGACTTTAAATAAGCAACTTTATTAAAAGACACTTACCGTATCCCTAGTTACTGTCATATTCTATTAAAAGCCACAGTCTATCGCTTATTACTCTTTGCTATTTTTTTCCTTTGTCTTTAAAAAAAATTGTTGTGAGCTGAGTGGATCATTTACAATTTATTAACAAGATGATCGTTCTGATGATACAGTTAGAGAGGTTTTCCATTACCTTACATGCTCACCAAATTATATATATATAATTATATATATATGTTTAAAAAAGGCTTCCATTTCATACATAATGAACACCCTTTGTTCCTGTTTTGTTTTTGTTTTTGTTTTTTTTGCAAACAAGTGTGGTTATTTCATACATACTGAAAAAAAAGAAAAGAGCTCTGGTTAGTTTTTAAATAAATCCCAGTGTGCGCTTGTGTGCATCTTTGTGTGTACTTGTGTGAGTATGTATGTATATATAATATATTCAAAACAAATTATATGTATATATTTATATAACTTTTTTCAGTTTAGCTGTGCTTGAGTAATGAGAGCTAGCTTCTTTAGGCATTGAGAGAGAACAGGTTGATGATTAAAAATAGATTTAAAAAAAAAGAAAAGGAAGAAAAAAATGGAAAGACAATGAAAATCTGCCTTCAATCCACTATGGACACATATCTGAGTTGATGGGAGTTGGATAATATAATTGTGAGTTCTTGAGCTTTTCCTACCAAAGCTAATTGTTTTATGGAAAAAAAAAGCTTTCTGTCACCCTAACTCAACACAATACAAGGAAGGGAATGCCGGTGTCTTTTAAATGCAGTCAGAATGTGACTATTACTGATTTCTAAGGGTTGACCACATTGGCTGGAGTTCAGGAGAATCTGCAAGATGTGGTCAAAATGATCAAGATGGAAGTTGTGATGGTGCTATCAAGTCTCTACTCCATTGTTTAATGCACGAGGCACATCCAAAACATGGGCAGAGTTTTGATGGTACTGTTGTGGCTGTTTTGGACCACGCCTATAAACAACCATGCTGGACTTGAAGTTGTTAGAGTCCAGCAACAATTAGAGGCCAACAGCTTCCCATCTTATTTTTAGAAAACAACCCCCCCCCAAAAAAACCCAACAACAAACAAACCAGGAGAACGATTCTTTCCTGTTCTCTAGAAAATAGCAATATTTTACTTCAAACTGGAAGAGTCAGTCAATATAGGAATAGTTGCTTACACCAACCCTTCTCTCCCTTCACTGAACCTGATCTACAATGACTTCTAAGAATCTAAAATAATTCTACTTTGTTAAAGTTTCAGGGTAAGGCTGGTCCTTTGAATATCTTAAAGCATAGACTTTCAAAATAATTTAGCAGTTAACTTGTTGAACTTCACCTCTAACTACAAGGGTGAAATGTCAGGAATTGATGGTATGGTATTTCTTATTTGTGACCCTGTTTTCCAAGTTTGGTTTCTCAGTAAGCTTCAACATTAAAATAGCTTAAGTGCCTTCCCCAAGCCCTCCCAACCATCCTCAAATGATAAAAAAGCTAACAGATCGCCCCAGCAATTAACACACATGCTGATGGTCAATGAAACTATCAATCTAAAAGAGAATAAAACCCCTTGTACCAAAATGTCTGCCCTTCAGGAAGAGGAGGAGGAGGAGGAGAGGGAAGGAGGAGGAGGAGGTTTAATTTGAGGATGAGGAAGAAAAGCAAGAGAAGGAGAGAAGAAAGTCTAATCTGAGGAGGAGACTGAGAAGGGAGAAGTGGAAAATTTAATCTAGAGAGGAGGAGGAAGACACGAAGAAGGCAAAGAAGGTTTAATCTAGGGAGGAGGAAGAGGAAGAAGAAGAAGAAGAAGAAGAAGAAATCTCTAAAGGGTGAGCAGAACAGGATTTTAACATTTTTATTCTCTTGTAAAAGTCCATCTTCATAGCATGCCACCCAATGGAAGATCTACTCTCATACTGGCTGAGCATATCAAACTGGGCGAGACGTTTGACTCCAATCCTTGGGAATGAAATGGAAAATCAACGGGAATGATGGCATCCTATATTATAAAGCACAGGGAGATTCTCTCTCTCTTTCTCTTTCTCTCTCTCTCTCTCTCTTGCTTTTTTTTACCTCTTAAGGGATGATATTGAATCAGCTGCTTCACACAATCCTCTTGTCGGAAACTCTCTCCTTTGGGTTACTCCAGTGTTTCTCAGCCGTAGAAAAATTAAGAGCTGCACTGGTTGGGGAATTCTGGGAGTTGAAGTCCACAACTCTTAAAAGTTACCAAGGTTGAGAAAACACTGGGTTGAGAAACACTATTTTACACATAGCATAAATGCTGAGCAGAGCTACTGGTGATCACCCATCACCCTGCTTCCATGTTCCTCTGCCCCAATGACCCCCAAGCCTAATGTGAAAGCCATACAAAAGCTAATCCTATTGGTATATCTCTTCTCTCTCTATAAATATATATATATACATACACTCATACATATACAAATACTAACCCACAGACAATTGTTTTAAAACAGTTCAATAGCAACAAGTTGACAGAGAGGTGGGAAGGGGAGACAGAGTCATTGCGTAATTTGGCTCCCAGAAGACCGAGTTTTGATTGTGTTTATTTTGTTGTGGTGGTGGTGCTTTTGCTCTCTTTTTCAACAAGAGGTCATCGTGTCCAATGCTCTTGAGGAAGGAATCTGGAGTGAAGTCGTGGCAACTTTTGTCTAATACAATCCAGTTGCTGGGAGGACATCAAGCTGAAGTCGAGAAAGGCCCTTTCTGAAGCAACCAAGCTTTGGAGAAGGAGGAGTTGAATAAGTCAGAGGTGATCTTCTGTTTGGGATAGTACGCCTTTTGCTTGTCACCATGGTGAAACGATAGGCCAGCTTTGAATGTCAGGAGTTCTTACAGACCTGGGTAATGAGCAATAACATCGTTTATTAGCAAGCATATGGCAAGTTTAAAGACCGTACTTATTTCATCCCTCCTCTAATCTTTAGGCACATTTATTTGGTGGCTCACTTATGACTCTAAGCACTTTATATTCAATTACCCATGTGCCAGAGCAATTCGTCATAAAGATTTAAGGATAGAGAAGGAAACACCCATAATTACACTGGCCATTTAAATTAAAAAAGGAAAAGGCCGGCAAACAAAAGAAAAATGTTACAGCAAAAGATTTGAATTCTATTCTTGGATTCTCTTTGCTTTACGTCATTTAGGCATTTCACATCCAGACCTGTGTGGTTCACATGGAATGTAGAGTTTAGACAGGGAACGAGTTTGGTGTAGCGGGTAAGGAACCAGGCTAGAAACTGGGAGATTGTGAGTTCTAGTCCCATCATAGGCACAAGGCCAGTTGGTTGGCCAGTCACTCTCACTTACCCCTAAGAAGGAGAGGCAATGGCACACCACTTTTGAAAAACTTTGCCAAGGAAACTGCCAAGAGATATGTCCAGGCAGTTTCTGAGAATTGGACACAACTGATCAGAAAGACACAACTGATCAAAAAAATAAAAATAAAAGTATTTGTTTACAACCTTGATGGTCTATGAGTCAACTCAAATAGATCTCCTCCACTGAGGAATTAAGTAGATTGCAAATGCAAGTTAACAACCAATATTTTTTAATTCCAAAAGTTTGCACCATTCAACATGCTTCCCCCACACCCCCAAAGGACCAATAGTGAGGTTTAAGGAGGTTCAAAAGATTCAACAATTATGGGGAGAAGAGAGGACAGACAGACAATCCTGTCTTTCCTGCTGCTTTCTTGCTAGCCTTCCACCAAGAAAGATCTCTGCACCCTTCCTTGAAGTCTTACAACATGGTTCCATCACAGAGCCAAGCATCCCTAAAAACTAAACGTTGCCAATGCTACCAGAGAGAAAAAGAAAATAAACCAAACTTTCCACCAAACTGAAAACTAACCAGGATAGCTTCACGTGGGAAGACAAAAAGATAAACTGGGTTGGATTTGAAAGGAAAGGAAAGGAAAGGAAAGGAAAGGAAAGGAAATGTTGAGGGAACAGACTTGTGATTTTTCTTTTCTTTCCCTGCCAGCAAAGAAAAAGCCAAAATTTGTCAAGTAAAGTCTTGTCTGTGAATTATTGGCTGATTTTAGCCAAAGACTGTTGTAAAAGAATTTAGGAAATAGCTGTACAGGTCATAAGTCTGTCATAATAAGCTACTGCAAAAAGAACTATGGCCTGTCACAAAACATAATTTAGTTCTGTGAAATTAGGGAACATTAAACATTTTCTCTTAAATATATATTACAGGAAGTATCAAAGTTTAATCTTTTCAAGTACAGCTTTCACCACTGAGGCTGAGTTGATAAAAAAGGATTACAAAATACTGGTAATATTTCTGTATGATCAAGTATTTGTGTCACATAGAAACATTTATCTTCCCCATGTATTTATTGCTATGTTTCCATCTGTGTGGAATACATACATACATTTATACACTTATAAATCCATGCAAACACATGTATGTTCTAGCATTGTGTTTTTGGGACATAATAAAGCAATCATAACTCCTTGCTTTTATCCATTAATTTCAAGGATTCTAATTCTCGACACGAAAAACACACGCTTGTTGACCTTGTGTTGCACCATCTATACACCCAGATTTCATTTTAGATGAATTATGTAATTACACTTTAAATGCACACAGAACCCTCAGATTAATGTTGGGGTAGGGAAACTGAGGAAGGTTGAGCTGTAGTTTGGCTACATCTGTAAGTCAAAAAGTTTCCCACTACGAACTAGGGAACAATTCAAGAGTTAAGTAAGTTATAAAATAATTTTCTACCAAATGGAAGAATAATTCACCTTGAGACCTTATCAGCATGGGAGGTCGAATCTTAAAATCAGCAGACATAAGGCAATTGGGACTCATAGCCCCTCCCAACTGTTTCTCTCAATGCTTTCTGATGGCCTTTAGTTGCATTTAGAGTAGTCCTAATGGCAGAAGCTAGACTTAGCCATGATTAATTTATCTGCTGGCTCTCATTTGATCTACTCCAAATGCGGTGATTCTAGAGCCAATTTATAGAGAACACACTGATGGTTCCCAATGGCTTCATTTGGCCAAATAAGGAAACTGACATTTCATATTTGACTACTATCTCTTTTCCCCTCTTCGTTCTCCAGTACAGCCCTCCACAAATATTCTCTGCAAGAACTCTTGATACCTGAAATCAAACCTAAACCCCCCACCCTGTGATAATTAAGCTGAAAATCACACTTGCTGATTTCAATCTAACATTATGGACTGAACTCAACACTAGATTAAGGTGGGTTATGATCTATCATGTGTTCCTCTGGTGAAAGGCCACTGAAATGGAGCTATGTGGGAGCATCAGTGGTGGGATTCAAAAGTTTTTACTACTGGTTCTGTGGGCATGGCTTGGTGGGCATGATGTGGCTTGGTGGGCATGGCTTGGTGGGCATGGCAGGGGAAGGATATACTGCAAAATCTCCATTCCCTCCCCACCCCACTAACCTGCTTTTCAGCTCTGTTCTCCTGTGCAGGGCAACACAAGATGACCCAGCTGATCAGCTGGTACTTGGGAGGCAGTGACTAGGTAGGGGTGGGGCCAGTCAGAGGTGATATTCCAAACTACTCAAAATTTCCGCTACCGGTTCCTCAGAACTGATCAGAACCTGGTGAATACCACCTCTGGGGAGCATCAGAATTTTTCACCCTGTTTGTGCTTGTTACAGCCCCTTTTTTTTGGGACAGGCCAATGCCCAGAGTTATTGGGAAAGCTCAATGAGATTCTTCAAATGTGATCCACCCTGGCTTCTCCAGCATAGCACATCCCTGCAAATGCTATAGATCATAGGGCATCCAACTTGGCCCCTTTAAGACGTGTGGAAGTTCAGCTCCCAGAATTCCTGTGTGGCTGGGGGATTCTGAGAGTTGAAGTTCCACAAGTCTAAAAATGGCCAAGGTTGGACACCCATGTTACAGACAGATACATAAGAGACACATAAACCCATGCTCTCATTTAATAAAACACTTGGCGGAGTCCCTTTTGAGGATTGGGCTGTTTTGAGAATAGAAATTACCTGTGATATTTTAGGATTTTCAGTTTGTTGCTGGAATGGGGAGGAGAACTGGCAGAAAGGGCAAACAGTTATTGCCATTTCAGATGCAAGACTGATGAAAATTAATAGGTGCTTAAATACCTGGACATATTTGAGACTTATTTGCAGATCCCATCCTGGCATCTCTGTGCTGTGCGTCTCCCCGGCACACCTGAGCCCTTTCACACTTAGTTTGACAAATTAATTTCAGTGCAGGCTCTGTGCAACTTATTCCATCTCTGTACATCCAGTGTCCTTCCCCCCTCCCACTCCCCACCCCCGATCTCGTCTCTTTCTGGAGACCGCAGATGCTATTTGCTGCTTTCATTAGGACTGGCTGAAAATAACCTCTTCAGTCCATGGACCGCAGTGATCTCTTACTCGCTGGAGGGACCTAACATGCTCCCGTAATGATCTGCACCCAGATCAAAAAGATTAAGGTAATGTGTGTAACCCAGATCATTTCAAAATGGCATGCCCTTCTCTTGAAAGCAGGCTGCAAATGGACCATGGTCTGCATCTCCTGGAACAGCCAATAGACAGCGGATAAACTGCTTTAGAGTACAACTAGACAACTATTTGTAGAATGGAATGGAGTAAAGTGGAGTGAATGGAATGGAATGGAATAGAATTAGAATTAGAATAGGATAGGATAGGATAGGATAGAATATGGAATGGAATGGAAGGAAATAGAATAGAATAGAGTAGAATAGAATAGAATAGAATAGAATAGAATAGAATAGAATAGAATAGAATAGAATAGAATAGAATAGAACAGAACAGAACAGAATATGGAATGGAACGGAAGGAAATAGAATAGAGTAGAATAGAGTAGAGTAGAGTAGAGTAGAGTAGAGTAGAGTAGAGTAGAGTA